CTTTCAAGAGACTGAAATTGCTTTAAAAGATTGGTCTTCAAGTGACAATTATACTCAAGCTCATTTCTTGTGCAGTGTAGCTCAACCTATATGTCTGCACTTTAAGGGCTCCTTTAGCTCGAATGATCAGCAATCAGAAATAAAAATATCAAAAGAAATGTGTTGCGTATGTGTGTTTCTAACCAAAACAGGCACCACACAGTACATTAACTGCTGCCTGCCAGGCTGTTTGCTTTGGCTTTGCTGGTGCACAGATGGGAAAGGAACTTAACGTTTCCCTTGTTATTACTAAGTAAGTTTTTTGTGCTTTTATATTGATTAAGCTTAATGCTATTTCCAAAAACAAACAAATCCTACCTACACTAAACCAAAAAAACCCCTCATACCAACCAAAACCCAAAGCTTATCCAGTTGGTATCTATGCCTTTTGCACAGAACACCTCCAACATCCTGACAATCTACAGGAGTCAAAGAATCTTTGGGATTAGCACAGCATAAAGCTGTAGGTGTTAAAAGCCATAGATAACACACATACATATACAGGTACCACTGTATATATACGCACACGCACACAGATGTAGTCTTTTGTGTATATATATGCACACACACACAGATGTAGTCTTCAGAAGTTATCTGGCAGGATCTCTCACATTCATTTATTAGTTTACTGCCCTCTTGCAACTCTGAGGAAAAGACTTCTGAATTCCGACAGCAGTACGACGCAATGGGAGCTAAACAAGCGCTGGCACCAATCTGGGCTTTTGTGTGTTTCCTTTCCCTGTGAATGCACTCTTCTCTAAGCTGCTGCATAATTTTTCTGCACACAGCAAGTAACTGAGAAGTTTCATCTTGGAGATAATTGCCATTGCAGCAGTGGGTGAAGTGATTCCTAGCAATGGGTGTAACACCTCTGCCTCCCAGGGGACCAGATTCCTCCTTGCACACTTCACTATGTCACCCATCATGTGCCAGGGCTAATTCTGGAGGTGGTACCAGACCAAAAGGACACCGGGGTGCATTACTGCAGATGGAAGCTGCAAAGAACTGGCCTGAATAAGCAGCAAAGCCCAAACACTGGAGCATGCCACAGCATTTAGCAGAAGGGACATGCAAATATAGGAGGAAAGTGCTCTGAATACTTCCTTAGAGTCACGATAAAGAGAAAGAAACCGTTAAAAGAGAGAAAGAACTGCCCCTTTTTTGTAACATTGCTGCTCGCAAGCTCTGCTCGTGGAGACTGATGCTGCACAGAGAAGTCACGTGGAGCTGAACGCATCTTACTCCAACCCTCACCACCAGCCTCTGCTACCTACAATGAATCTTCGGCTTGGGAACAGAATCCTCCGTCTGGAGTCACAGTCCCAGACAGCTGAATGCTTTGGGAAGCTGACACGTGCCTTGGCTTGGGAGACTGCCAGCTCTTTGATGCAGCAGTGCTCACAGAGGCTGACTGCAAAGCATGTGGAGGAGGGAAGGGGTGGAGGAGGCCTTAATTTGGCTGCCAACTTCCAAAGTGCTCACTCTCGGGAGGTTATGTGACAGCTGTGACTGAAGCGAGCGTGGGAGGATGCAACTGCAGGAAAGGGAAGCTCTCGGGCTGGGTTGGGTTTTTCAAAATGAAAGCCATAGCGGCATTTGCTGCAATGAGAACTCCGCTGTGGGTCAGGCACCTCTATTAAGGCAAGGCTTTCCACAAGGAAAGCCAAAGGAATGGCCCAGTTTAATGCATGCATAAGACAACTATTGAGCCATTCAGCAGATGCCATGTGCCCTCCATTAAAAAAGATGCCTGCATTCAAAGAAACCCACTGATCAGTGCCAACACCCAGCCAGGCAGCAAAGAAATACCAGAAGGAGCTGGAAACTCAGCTGTGAAATCTAGCACTTGCAAAAGACTCTCCTCCCAGCCCAGGCAGGAGAGGAGGAAACAGAAGAGAACCTGGTGACCAACCCCATGCCTGGAGCAGGCCCTGTTCCTTAGCAAAACTCCATGAGGCCAGAGGGCATCAATCCTACTAATGCCTCAGATTAACGAGAAAAGGCTCCTGGCTGCAGAAAAGCTGTTGAAAACAAACACAGGACTAGAGGCTTCAGGCTGTTCTCTGCTCTTCTAATATATCCATCTCCTGTGCAAAGATCACAGTTATTCTGGGAATGCTGAGCTGAATTTCTCTCATCATGCTTCTATTCAGTGGTCCCACAGATGCTTTCAGCCTGCCTCCCTGCATGGCCTTTCACTCACACATGCACACTTGTCTGCCAAAACACCTACCGGTGCATGGACTTTGCTGTGACCCCCAGCACGTGTGAGTGGTACCTGTCAGGAAAGCATCAGTTCATCCCTTCTCTCCATGTGTCCAGCCTTGACCCCACAGCCAACATGGGGGTGGCTGGAGCAGTGCAGCTGAGACCAGCCCCAGGCTGCTGTGTCTCTGAGGTGGCCACCAGCAGGTCTGAGATGGGGTCAGAAAGGTGTGCCTAGTTTGGAGATTGAAAAGTAGTGCTTTTCTAAGACAGAGAAAAGAAGAGGTCTCCTTTTTTCCAAAACCACACTAGTTAAGTACCACATCTCTCCATTATCAGGAGCCAGCTCATCAAAAGCAGATTGCCCCAGCGCGATCCTGTGGCACACTTCAGTAGTGTACAATCAACAGCAGGAGGGCAAAACTTCAACTCCATGACTTTCACTCATGCTGTGATGAAGACATATGGCATGAAAGCATCTCATCTAACTTTGCACACCCATGGTAGAGGTTCCTCTACCCCCAGTGACTAACTAGGATGTCTTTACAAATGAGGAAACAACAGATTAAAGTCATCTTTGGGTAGACATATAAAATATATGTACAGTTGTGCTGGTAGGACCATCTCTCTCCTGTTACTATAAACATCCTCAAAGTCTAAAATTAGGTGAGATAAATCCTCTCTCTACTGAGTCTACACAGGACGGAAACCCACTGAGTAAGTTGGGAAAATCATCACAGAAAACCCCACATTACAGTCACTGCTGGCTTGGATTCCTTCTGCACTGCTGGCCGCTCGAAGGCTGCTTTCTTCTCTCAGTAACTCCCCATTTAGCAACCCAAAGCTGAGAAACCCCTTTGGGACGATGCAAAGATTATTATATGGGAAGGAAACCAGATGAAATGCTAACAGTACAGCCCACACCTGAAATGTTACGAACATCGTCCTTGCTTTCTGGTCTTGCAGCCCAACATTCCCACCAAGGAAGCCCCAAATCTGCAGTTGTAAACGCCCCCTTCCCCATACTCCACTGATGGAGAGAGAGTGAGCGGATTCCATACCTTCAATGGGTTTGGGTACAAAATGTGATGAGGGTTTGGTTTTTTTCACTCGGTTTCCCTTCATAATTTGACCTTCTTTATTGAGTCCCAGGAACCACGCTCGGCCGGATTCTTGCTGCCGGTACAGCGTGGAAGAATAAATAACGTAGTAGTTTTCAAAGACAGATTCCTTAAATTTGCACTCTGGTGTGAAAACGTCCTGCAGTAAGAGAGAAAGAAAAAGCAATGGAAGGAATTAATCACTGATCTCCTAAATTAGGCACCACTGAGTGATACACGATGGTCACACGCTGCAGTTAGTTTAACAGTAGAAAACAACAGGCATCAGCAATACCAGCTCCCAGCAATAATACACATCCAGAAAACTCCCCACTGAAAGGAAAGCCTATCCTCCCCTGGCAGAGCTGTGGTTTGCAAAACAGCCTACAGTGAATGGGCTTAAAAAATATGCAGGAAAAGTCAGGAATTTGCTGAGATTTAGGCTGAAATACTAAACAAAAAGAAAAAAAAGAAGAAAACCAAGACAGCTGAGAGCAAAGAGACAGCCTTGCTGCTCCTCTGCTGCTCCCAGTGCCTTCCCCTGGCTTTGCTCTTACCTTCCCATGTGTTGGTCATTGTCTAAAACACTGAGGCTCTTTCAAACTCTTAGGGGCAAAAGGCAATTTATCAAAAGCATTTAAGCAGATTGAGAGAAATGGGACAAATACAAAAGCAAGAAACTACTTATTTATTTTCAAAGGCGACAGGAGGAGAGGCTGGCAAAAAGCCTGGAAATCTTTCAATAAAGAAAAAGAAGTAATTTTAAAGATTTCTGACACAAGTATTTCTTCAGACACTGAGAACTGGTCCCACACCTGCCCAGGAACAGAGGACATGTAGACCTGTCTGAGACGTTCCCTGAGCCTGTGCCAGCCATGGGGGTTGTGGCTGTGCCTTTGCCAATTGGAACCGCGCCTCTGCATAAAGTCTCAAGGAGGAAACTACACTCAACTACAGACCAAAACCTGTCATGTCCCAATAACTTTTCAAGATTTTTTAACAACAGGGAAATATTAAATTTCTTTTAAAAGAGCTGGCTATCCAGGGGACTCTGTTGCAGTGGGCTCCCAAACCTTCACTGAGGCAGACGTGGTTGTTGGTGGGTTAGGTTTTTTCCTAAATTTTGATTTTGAGCAGAAAATTCATCATAGCCAGCTGAATTCTCCTTCTGCATTCCTTAAAACTATGACTTTCTTGCAAAAAGGTCTCAAGTCACAATGAATATGCATTTTCTGAAGAAAAACTCCTAAAACCAAAAAATATATCCCTTTTCCCAGGACCCAGACAAGGTATCTCAGAGCCCCATGAGTGAAGGCAGATGCTGCTACAGGTGAGCGATGCTCTCTCACAAGCTCCTGCCACTCGCAAGTCTTTGGGAGCTTCTCCAACCTTGCTAATGGAAAACCCATGACCAACATCTGAGCAAAGCATCTGGAGTAATGCCACGTATTTACTGCAAACCTCATTTAAGAGTGAACATTTTGAACATTCAGCAACACTGAGGTATGTATTCCCAAGTGCTTTGGGGTTTATATAATGTGTTGCTGGTCTGACAATAAATCCAGCGTGCAACAGACCTACGGAGCCAGGCAGGCTTGCAGCCAGAGGAGATAAAGCACAGCAGAAAGCACGGAGCTGTACAGCACACAAGAGGTTTTCATCAATCATTAGTGCCACACAGATAAAAATGCTGTCAGCCCAACGGGTCATTTTGCCCTATCTGAAGGAGTCTTCCTTGCTGGAGAAGTAAATATTTTAGGAAGAGAGTGAAACAAGTTAAGAGAGCTCTAGATGACTTAGAGCACTATAAAACAGTGTTTGAAGTAGGTTCCCAAAAGATCAGTGTTTAAGCGCTCCTTAAATCTGCTCTGTATCTCCAGGCTTTGTCTTGCCTGGGAAGACGCAGCTCACGGGGGAGCTGGGCAGTTTGCAGGGGCCGCCCGGACTGGCTGGCTCGAGGGCTTTCCTTAGCACCGGGCCCAGCCAGCAGCAAACCCCACAACAGAGAGCATCTCTAAATCCAAACTGCACAACTCAATCCCCTTTCCCATGCCCTGGTTACCCCATCAACAAAACCTCATCGAGAAAATCCCCCTCAGGAGGACTGGAAGTTGGTAGGCTGCGAGGGGTAGCTATGCACTTGACCAAACCATGGCATTTACTGTACATGAGATATCTGGATGTTCAATGTCTGTTTTATTATCAGTGTGGAACAAAGACTATTTTTCATTTTCAATGAAGCAGAAACATAAAAGCTAACACATTTTGAAAATATTGTTTCAGAACAACAACAACAAAAAAATCCAGATTAAAAAGAAAAAACTTATTTAAATTCAAATTTTCAGATAAACATCTATTTTTAAATTACTGCAGTATAATATTTGATGACATGCAGCAGTAGTTCATGAAAGCAGATGCCATATTGTATATCCGCTTGTACCAATAAAGCAGCTAAAGTATGTTATTTTAAAGCAGATGTAAAGACATCAACTTAGCAAAGATTTAAAAAAATTAAGAAAAAAAATCGTGATTTTCTTTACATTTTTAAGCTCCCCCACAAGCAAACAAAACTGTCCCATTGTTTTTCTGAGTTGGTTGGTTGATTCCTCATCCCCCACAATTCAGTGGAAATAGCACTTTAGGACACTAACCATGGCAACAGCACCAAGAAACATCCCAGCTCTGTCCATTCGGCAGTTCAGAAAACCCACAGATTTGACAGCTAAGTTAAATAATGCCATTTTTAGTCCTTATTATTATCCCTCTTCTTACGTGTATCACCTCATGAGCAACAGCTACTGTCCAGCTGTGGCACAGAGGGACAGACCACCGGAACGCCATCCACCCTGCCAAAGCCGACACGCTGCACCCCCTGCACTCTCTCACTTGGTGCAGGGACCTTTTGAAACAGGCTTACAACGAAGCCCACTCAGTTATTTTTCTGACGCTCTCCTTGACAGAAATAGCATGACCAGGTAAAAGACAGTGAGAGGACAGATGGCTTCATCTTCTAATCACTGGTCTTTTTTCAGTCTTTCAACAAAGAAACAAATCATGACTTTGTTTTCTGTACAAACTCCATAGAGCTCTCAGTCCCCTGCCAGCACCATCATGAGCTCAGGTCACTCCGAAAACTCACCGGTTCTCCTCATTACAAAGTACCCTTGTGATTTAGAGGAAAAAAAAAAAAGGAAATATGTCTGGTTTTATCTTCATGTGAAACACATGTCTTTGACTAAATTATGTTTTGTATACAAAGTAAATAAAAACATTTATTTTTTATATGGAGATTTAGAGCCTGAGGTATTTTGTTAAATGACTATAGATATTACTGAAAGCAGTTGGAAAAAGCAGATCTTTTTTATATTGTTGAACTAAAAACCTGCATTAAATACTTTTAAAAGAAATGCTAATAACTTACATGCAAAACGATTAGCATCTGCCTGCAACTTGTTTTCTGTATCTCAATTCAATCCTTTGAACAAAAGGCAATTCCAGTAAGGAGAGTAATTAGATTTGCTTTGAAAAACAAACATAGGTCTGGTTTGTGCTAACTCCAGTGTTATTGGAAATTGCACAGTCTAGAAAAAAATAAAGCGGCAGCTATCACACAGAAAATTAGGGAGACCACGTTCAGTGAGACTTGTAATGAAAGAAGGAAGCTAAATGCATGCAACTGCCCTTTGGGTGGGGATTCACGGAATCAGACCTGCTCAGGGAGGGTAGAGGTACCGTGGATTGCCCCAAAAGCTATTTTTGGTTTACGAAAACAAGCTGTTTCATTCATCCTTGATCCCAGCAGTGTCACCTGACTTCTGTAGATGGAAATGTGGATGGGACTTCCAGGCACAAGCCAATCTCTGTATCATTTGGGCCAGTGTGGTCCTTCATGGAGGTGTTGAGAATGCCTGGCCCCATCTGCCCCCCTCCCTAGCACAGGCTGGGGGTGATCTGTGAGAGGACAGGTTTTTTTCTGATCCACCTCAACTTTAACCTGCCTGGTCAGGTAAATCTAACCCAGCCTCTTGGCCTGGAACACACCAAGTTAGATTGGACTCTTTTTTGCACTTCTGCAAAGATGGAGAAGCTCCACAGACATTGGTGGAGAAGCATTGCTACCAGACCCACGGATATTCAGGGAAGGTACTGCTGCCCTCGGACCCCTCGGCTCCTCCAAAAAATGCGGATCCAATGGTGTCACAGCCCTAGTGCGGGCACAGCACTGCCAGGGCAGTGGACAGCCCTTGTGCTGCTCCGAGCAAGAGAGAGCCGTGCTGGCCCCTGCCCGAACCAGGTCACTGGCACCCTGAGCATCCTCAGCCAGGAGGCGCAAAGAAAGGGTATCCCCGTAAGAAACAGCACGGTGCTCCTGGGTACTGATCAGCAGAGCGAGCAATCTGCTCCCTTGTTTGTTTAGACCAAGCACAGAAGCCCCTGATGTCCCCAGACCATGGCAGAAATGGTGACAGGTTTCCATGTGCAATGCTCTGAGATGAAAAGGGAGTCAGCCGAAGACTGTCACTAGCTGTTATATTCAAACCCAGCTGCTCACTCAGCATCCACCCGGACTAGGCCACGTGTTTGTATTTTCACTCTCAAAATTGCCAGATAAATAAAGATATCTTTTTTTTTTTTTAACTCAAGATCTCCTTTTATTATAACCCAAAGGAGAATAGCAAATATACACATCCACACGCAAACTAATGACTTAATAAATTTAGTCACTGAAACTAGCAGCAATAAAAGAAAAAGCCCATTCTGCAAGTAGTTTGTGCCATGGTTTAGGAAAGGGATGTTAATTATGAATGTTGAAATATCTAACTAACACACTCCCAGAGTAATGGTTTTCCTTTGTTTACAGCACTTACGGGTTTCTCTTTTATGTTCTGCACAATTACTGAGCCAGATCTTCAGATGGGATAAAAGCACTAAACTGCACCCAAGTCTATGGCATGGCAAGGCTTCCTTCCCACAGAATCTGGCTTAGGATGCTTACTGATGTTAGTGTTAATACTTAGAGCTCATTGAGTCATTTAAAACATACTAAGTAGGAATCACAAATATCATCAGAGCTATCAGCAGTGCCATTTCATTGTGGCTGCAGAGGCAGACCATGGAACAACTGGATCGTGTTCACTGTGTCTGTATAAAGCACCACTC